AGTCAGTTTCAGTATTTGTGTTTTGGGGAATTTGTCCTTTTTATTAACAGTATCAAATTTGTTGGCTGTGCAATTTTTCATGGTAATTCTTTGCAATACTTTTTGTTTCTAAAATTTTGTTTTGTTACTGATTTCTAATTGCATTCCATTGTGGTCAGAGAACGTTCTTTGTATTTTAACCACTTTAAATTATTGAGAGTTGTTGGTGGCCTACTACATAGTCTATCTTAGAGGGTGTTTTATGTACACTTAAGAAGAATGTACATTGTATTGTTGGGTTGTATTGTTGAGTGTATTATGTATGTATGTGAAGCATTGTATAGATGTCTGTTATAGATCTAGTTGGCCTTTAGTTTTGTTCAAATCTTCTATTATCTTTTGATTTTTCTTCCTGGTTTTTCTGAAAGGGGATATTGAAGTCTCCCATTATCATTTTTGAGTTGTATGTTTATTATTACTTTGATTATTTGTTTGTTTTAAAGTCTATTTTGTCTGATTCTTGTAGGGTTGCTTTTGCATAATATATATTTTTCCATCCTTTTACTTTTACCTTATTTGTATCATTGAGTCTAAAATATGTCTCTTGTAGACAGTATATAAGGCTGTGGTTGGATTAAAAAAAATACAATCTGATTAACTCTGTCTTTTGATTGGAGTGTTTAATCTATTCACATTTAATATTATTGATAGGGTTGGATTTACATTTGCCATTTTGCTTTTGGTTTTCTATAGGTCTCATTTCTTTCTTGGTCTTTTCTTTACTGCCCTTTTTTGAATTACGTGAATATTTTCCAGTGTAGTATTTTAATTTCTTTACTAAGTTTTAAATTATGTATTTTGAATTATTTTCTTAGTGTTTGTTCTAGGGATACAACATGCATCTTAGTTTATAAAAATCTACTTCTAATTTTTACTTCAAGCAAAATAAACTTTTCTGCTGAATAACTTCATTTAACTCTGCCCTCTTTTTTGTTACTATTTTATACATAGATTATGTCTCTATATAGTAGAAACCCAACAATATTATAATTTTTACTTTTTTAATCTTGTGTATTTTAAAGAAGCTGATGGAAGAAAGAGCAAGTACATATTTACTGAATTAGTTATATTAACCTTTGCATTTTTCATTATCTTCATATATTCCTGTGGATTTGAGTTACCATCTAGTGTTGTTTCCTTATTCCAGTATAGCTTCGTTCTCATCTGCCTCCTCTATGTTATTGTCAAACATATAAAATTTCTGTTACTAGCCTAAAAACACAAGTGTATGGGTATGCATACTGTTTTATTGAATTACTCTTTAATTCAATTAAGAGAAGAAAGGGGAATAAATATGCAATTATAGTGTCTTATAATTATGTACATAGGTACCTTTATTGGCACTCTATTTTTGTGTAGATTCAAATTACTCTTTGGTGTCATTTGCTTTCAGCCTGAAGAACTCCCTTTAGTATTTCTTATGAAGCAGATCTAGAAACAGATTCTCTCAGTTTTTGTTTTTCTGGGAATGTCTTGATTTTACCTTCATTGTTGAAAGTTTTGTTGCATATAAGATGCTTAGTTCACAGTTTGTTTATTTGTTTGTTTGTGTGTTTTACTTTCAGCACTTTTAATATTTAATCCTACTGCCTTATGGTCCCTTTTGCTTCTGATGAGAAGTCAGCTGATAATCTCATTGGGGTTCCTTTGTATGTGATGAGTCATTTTTCTCTTACTGCTTTGAAGATTTTCTCTTTTTCTTTTTTTTTTTTTGCAACATTTCTATTATGTATGTCTGATTGTGGATCTCTTTGTGTTTATCTTCTTTGGAACTTGTTGAGACTCTTGGATGTTTAAGTTAATGTTTTTCATCAAATGTGGGAAGATTTCAGCCATCATTTCCTTAAATCGTTTTCTGCCCCTTTTCTCTTTTTCCCTGGTGCTGTTTATTTTTCTTCATTCTTTCTTTCTCCCTATTCTTCAAATTGCATACTCTCTACTGATCTATTTTTAAGCTCTCTAATTCTTCTTCTGGTCCAAATCTGTTGAGCTCCTCTAATGAATTTTTCATTTTAGTTCTTGTGCTTTTCAATTCCAGAATTTCTATTTGGGTCTTTTATTTTTAAGTCATTTTTGTATCTTCATTGATATTTTTTATTTGATCAAACATTGTTATCATACTTTAATTCTCTATATACATATGGTTTCCTTTAGTTCTGTGAACATATTTATAATAGCTGATTTGAAGTCTATATTTGTTAGGGCTAACATCTGGGCCCCTTTGAAATTGGTTGTATTGCCTGCCTTTTTCCTGCAAATGGGGTACACTTTTTTTTTCACATTTTGCAATATATGTTGAAAATGACATTTTAGATTACATTGTGATAACCTTGAGGATGGGGGTTAATGTTGTTGTTTGTTTCATCATCTTTTTATTTTTTTAGTGACTTCACTGAACTGACCATGTGAAGTCTATTTCCCTACAGCACATATATTATGATGTTCCTGCTCAAATTTATTTCCTTCCTCCCTTCCTTCCCCTTCCCCTCCTCCTCCTCCTCCTCCTCCTCCTGCTCCTTCTTCTTCTTCTTCTTCTTCTTCTTCTTCTTCTTCTTCTTCTTCTTCTTCTTCTTCTTCTTCTTCTTCTTCTTTTTCCTCTCTCTCTCTCTCTCTCTCTCTCTCTCTCTCTCTCTCTCTCTCTCTCTTATTTTAGCCTCACTACCCAAGGTCATCCCTTGGTCAGCATAATCCACTTATTGGTCAAAGGCTGTGCTTATGCCCTCCTAGCCAGTTAGATTTTTATTCTTTACTGTTACAGGTATGTGTGTCTTGGAGAAAGCTATCATAATTGATGGAGTCTAGGTATTACCCAGTGATAAAGTGCATAAAGCAAAGGCAGGATAAATTCTTGATTTCTCCCCTTTGATTTAATGATTTTTAAGATAATTGGTTCTCTATCATCTCTTAAAGGTGATCAATTTCTTAAAATTTTGTGAACTCTTAGAATTAAAAATATTTAATAGATTTAAATCCATTTCAATTATTATCATTAATGAACTTCAAATTATTCCATCTTTGGTCAGTGGGAGCCTCTCAGAATTGGCTCCTGAATCCCAGAATCAGCCATTTCTCTAAGAAGCACTGGGCCCTAAAGGATGTTCATTGATACTTGATTGGTCATTGTTTCTAGGCCTTTATTGTAAACAGAGCTCATAAATGTATGTATGTATTTATGGTAAAAAATACATTGCAAGTATGTATTGATACTTCTGATTAAAACTCTATAGACTGCAGCACATTTAAGCCTTCCTTCTGTATCTCCTTTTTTCTGTGCCAAGAAGTGATTATAGAATCAGAAAAAAACCATAATTATTCACTTATAATTATCCCATATTACACATGCAACAGTTTAGAATGGCAACACTAAAACTACTGCAGACATTATGATTACTGAAAACATTAAAGACATACTTTTTTATATATGCCCCACTTTTATAGAATTTAGGACTGGTGATGTTTTCTGAGACATTGTTTGTTTAGCAACATTTTAGAGCACCTTCTCTGTCTCAGACTACCTGCTAGAAAGGAGATACAAAGAGGAATAAGACATGACCCTATTCTCCAAAAGCTGGGTTATTGGGTTATCTGGTGTTATTCTGGCATAAGAAGGTGTGGCCCTAGAATCTGGGGTTCTATTCTTCTTTAAGGTCATGTTAATTGTTTCAGTTGCATGCTTCCTAAAATAAAACACTTTCACTTTCTACTCTTATCAGGGAGCAGCCACCATTGGGTGGAGTTTCTTAATACTTCCTAAACCCATATACCTATTGTATAGGGTACTTCAGAGAAGAAGAACTAGTAGAATGAATACACACACACACACACACACACATACATGCAGACACATACATACACACACATACGTGTTTTGAGGTGAAAAAAATGTATATATTCACATACACACAGAGAGACTGTTTACTTTAAGGAAGTAGCTCATGTGATTGCAGGAGCTGGCAAGTCTGCAATTTGTATGGTAAGCCTGCAGGCAGCTGGAAACTCAGGCAGGGCTCCTTTGTTACAGTCTTGAGGCAGAATTACTTCTTCCTTGTGAAAGTTCAGTCTTTGCTTTTAATGACTTCAACTGATTAGATGAGACTCACCATATTATGAGCGTAATCTGTTTTATTTAAAGTCAACTGATTGTAAATGTTGATCACATCCACAAAGACCTTTACGGTAATGTATAGACTAGTGTTAGACCAAACAGTTGGGCACCATAGTATAGCCAAGTGGACACATAAAATTAACCATCAGACTTAGGTTAACCATTTAATTTATTGCCCAAACCGAGATTCTTTTGAGAATAAGGAGTACTAAAGGATAGTAAAATTATATAATTTTATTTTTTGGCTGACAAATTATTTTTATCATATTGGTAAACTTATAAAATTGCCCAATTAAGAAGTTACTTATAAAGTAAATTTATTTCTAAAAAGTATTTACATACACATATATCCATATACATCAAAGTAATCAAAACTGTTTTATATTATCTCAACCTTGAAATGAACATGGATTTCTCAGTAAAAAAAAAAGTTCATAAACATTATTTAACTTATTTTAGCAATAATTTGTATGTAATACTTGTCCTGTACTTTTTTTTAAGAAATGTAGTTTTGAAATATGGTAGTATTGTTTTTAATCATTTCATTAAGTTGTAGTCTTTTTCAAAGTTTCATTGAATGCTCATTAAACTTGAAATTGTTGATTCTTTCCAATAGTTACTATTTGCTGTAAATCATAATTTTGAAATAATATGTGAATCACAAGCATGTCCAAGTTTATTTCTGTTCCATAATTTTTTAAATTAATAAAACATTATTTTTTACTCTATGATGTTGTGCTTGACCAAAATTTGTATTTGTGTTATCACTGTAAAAACAAATACAGTCTATCCTCATTATTTACAGATTCCATTCTGCAAATTCTCCTACTTACAAAAATTTATTTGTAACCCCCAGTCAGTACTCCTGGTCTTCTGTAGTCGTTCATGGACATTTGCAGAGTGACAAAAAATTTGGATTGCTCAACACACATTCCCAGCTGAGGTAAAATAAGGCAATTCTCTGGCTCTCCTTTCAGCTCTGATACTGTAAACTAGTGTCCTTTTCATGGTGCCACATTTTTTCCATTTTTGTGCTGCTTGGTGATTTCCCGTTATAAAACAGTATCCAGGCACAGTGCTGAAGTGCAAGAAGATCTGTGATGTGATGTATTTTATAGATAAAATACATGCTTTCTATAAGCTTCATTCACACATGAGTTAGTGATATTGACTGTGACTTCAATGTTAGTGACTGAACAATTTATATTAAATAAAGTGTCTTTAAGCAGAAACGCACATCAAACAGGGTTATATATTGATCAGTTGGTGAAAATGTTGTGGCCAGAGGCTCACAGGAACCTAACTCTATATTTCCTCTAAGAGCAGTGGGTTGGTTTTCACTAACTCAGTGTTCATGGTAGCTTTATAGAGTTTAATGACCGTCAATCATGAAAATTGACTGTAATTCTATCTTTGGTGTTGAACTTTTTTGACTGAGCTTAAATAGCAGTCACAGCAATGTCGGGTGTTTCATAGAGTACAGAATGACCTTCCAATGATTGATTAAAAACAATCAAACCATTATTGGACTAACTGATTTTTCTAGATGATGTATCTCCTGACACCGATAGGAACCTGGCATCATGTAAGTGTGAATTTCTGCTGCTAATAGAGCCAACAAAGTAACAGCTGTCACTTAACTTTGACTATGTAAACATGATAATTTGTAATCAGAGCTGAGCATGATAAATTTAAAGAACAATCATTTGATCTGATTGAAAAGTCATGCTTTATAGAGTAACATATAGAGTAAAACTTCTCTATTTGCTTTTCTTAAATTTGTACATTCAAGTTAGTTATAGTAGGGGCAGCAGCATTGACTATTTCTTCCACCTTCACTGAAGATTGAAAGAGTTAGCTGTCCCTAGCTACCCCTGAGTGCACTTCCTTTTTCTGCAAGCTGCTTGGGTGCTGTCTTTGAGGATGAAGTGTCAGTTATAGCCCATCCAGAGATGGGTTGCTGCTCAGGGCCTTTCAGATTTAACCACATGTTAAAATGTCAGCTGGGTTCACTACATATGCATTTCACACTGCTCAACAATATCATAACAGAGCCTGGGAGTCCCAGCTTATTATAATGCTGCTGTAATAAAAAATCACCAGACAATGGAAAAACCAGAACAAATAATAAATTGGGCGGGACACTGGGACAATGGGCATAGATTGGGACTGTCTCAGGCAAACTGACACACATGGACACTTTACCAGACACATGTTTTTTCAAAAATCTCCTAATCCCAAACTCTTAATTACTGTTTTTCCATCAAAAAGGCTGTGCTCTCAATATGATTCTCTTGTTTATGACTATTTAGTAATTTTTACAGCATTATGCACATGGAAAAGAATGTGAAGCATTCTTCTTAGTCAGTTTTAGTCATTGTGGCATTTTTTCCCTAGAACATTTTCTATTTATCTTAAAACTTTTATTAAATTTTGCTTGTCTTCATTTTTGAACTGAAGACATGTAATTCACTGATGGAATTATTCTCTCTTAAATTAGTTCTTTTGTTATCTTAATAAAAACATTATACAGTAATTAAAAATGAAATTTGGGAATGAAAGGAAAGTAATTTTTACTTGTATTTGATAAAACTGGATTATCTGAATATGATTATAATAATACTTTATATTCTATTACAGGATTAATTAAAGGATTTACCATATATTGTATGACTCTTTACTGGAGCCTTGAGAAATAGGTAAGTAACAAGCATTTTTTGAAGAGTTATTTCTGAAACATTAAATAATTTGATCTCATAGGTTCCTGCCAAAGTAGGTAATGGGGCATATCTTTCTTAAGTCAATGAGATACCTTTTTGTCCTCAATAAAACATTAGTAGAAATGTCACATTTACATAAATCTTAATGTACCATTTCCCTAATATCCAATAAACATATTTTCTAGGGAGCTGTAGGTTTATTTTCTATAATAATTATAATGAGGATATTGTTAATAAGATACACAAGTTTGGCATGTTATTAAACTTAAAGCACTAAAAATAATAATAATAATAATATAATAATAATAATAATAATAATAATAATAATAATAATAAAGCAATATGGTACCCTGGATTGGATCTTAAAACTGAAAAAAGCCATTAGTGAAAAAACAGGTGAAACCCAAATGAAGTCTGTAACTTATTTAATAGTAACGTATCAACATTAGTTTCTTAGTTTTGACAAAATCTTGGTTTTGTAAGATTAACATCTTTAGATGAAACTGGGTGAACAGTTTATAGGGACTCTGTAGTATCTTTTCAACTTTTCTGCAAGTCTAAAATAATTCCAAAAAATATTTATTTAAAGCAGGAAAAATCAAGATTTATTGATATGAAAATTACAGTTTAGAAGTAGCTTTTCTTTGTAGTAGTTTAAAAAAATCAAAATTATTAATTACCTTTAAAAATCTAGATTTCATGAAATAGAGATGTAGGAAAACATGTAACTATAGGTTTCATTTTCACTTCATGGAGGTGTGGGATTTCGTTTTTAGATATTAGTATGGTGTTCATGAATATCTGGTTATACTTGGCTCTAAGCCCTGATTCCTTTAACGTACTTGTGTGTTCTTCGGTAGTTTAGTACAGCCTTTTCTATTAACACAAGCAGGCCCTTTAAATGGTTCCCAAAACATTGCTTTTTTTTCTTTTTCTTTTCTTTAATGTATTGTTAGAGGCAAAAAGTCCAGTGATGTGACTCAGTGGTTTGGAGTTGAGCCCTTCTTAGTATAGTTTTGTTCAGTCACACTTGTTTGAGCTTCTAGGTCAAGTACTAGACACAGTTGCCCTATTGTTAAAGGGTATGAATAAAGATGAACGTAACTCTTAAATAGACATTTCTGTAATTGATCTAAAATAATTGATTGCTGTCATATGATAGAAATTCTCAGTTTCCAAAATGAACTCCTGCAGTATAACTCTTTTAAATTTCTATAAATATTAAAAGACTATAAGAAGGGACTCTGTAGTTTGCTGAAACTATTACATAACTTTTCATTACTAAAAGTAAAATAGCCATGCTGGTCTTATAAATGGTTTTCTTCTTCTGTTGCCAACTTTAATGATTTTAGTTAAACTTAAATTTAATAAAGGGAAATAGAAATATATTATACTTAAAGGATATAGACATTTAAAACAAGAGGCCCAGGCCTGAATGATAGGTTTGGAGAGTTCTGTTTTGCTTGATATTTACCCAGAATTGGTGTTATCAATCTCATATTAATAGAATTTGCATCCTTACTTCTTAGTTGTGTAACGTAACTGTGCCAACCTTGGTAGAAAAGTTTAGAAAAATGTAGGAGAGATTTTTCAGGACAAGTTTAAATTCTGTTGATTATATAATAGTGCACACATTGAAAAATGAACTAAAAAAACCTTTTTATTCTTCTGTGCTAGAAGAGCATTAAAGGTGTTGTTTTTAGAGACACACTTTTACCATTCAGCTGACTGACTGTCATTCCGTGGTCATCTAAAGTATAAATGAGAATAGCTGACATATATAGAGCACTTTCTATGTACCAGGCACTTTATTTACAATGATCTCGTTTAATCTTCCCAAACACCTATGAGATAGTTTGGGATTCCTTTTATAGGTGAGGCTGGGAGAGTAGCAGGTGTCTCCAGGGTAACCCTGAGGATATGGGCAGAAAGAAGAAGTGCCCACGGTGTGCAGCACTTGCAGTTCATTAGGTTACCAGCTTCCCGGGAACCCTAAACCCTTGGACACTTCAGATTACATCAGCTCTTCTGGGGAAAAGGATGCCTGATCACGCCGGGTGACCTAGAGCAGATTCCCCGGGGGTAACTGGTCTGGAGTAGAATCCCCTGTTCTCTGTTCCAGCCTTGATCTAGCTTGTTCTACAGTTCCCTGACATGTCCGCTGTTCTTTGTCACCTGATTAATTGCCGAACACTCACTCATTGTGTGCTTCATTGATCGTATGCCAAGAACTTTTGGCAGCTCTGGAGAACATGATCTCAGCGTGCCTCCTGGTCAGTGTTGGGCAACTAGTACTTGTTAGTTGGGGTGAGAACTTGGATCCAGAAGCTAAGACATATGCCAGAGGCCAGGCATGGAATAATTGAGCAACTGACACGTGAAAGGTAGTTATCCAGACTCAGTCACTAGGCAAGAGTCAGAAACAGAATAGGCATGTGATTTTGAAGGGTGGTTTTTGAAAAAGATGATGATGGCTGGCTGTGGACTTTGTAGTTTGCAGATATAAAATAATTTCAACTGCTTTTTGAGAAAGAGTAAGTAACCGACTTATTCATTATCGTGTTCGTTACACTAAGCAGAAATCTGTTCCTCTGTAACTTTCCCATTGGTTCTAGCTATGTCTTTCCATAGCTTTGAATCTCCAGTCCCTCTTGCATTTGAAAGCATAAAGTACACATACAATTTCAAAATCTCCTTTTCTGTCTCTTCTTCATGGTATTCAAAAGTTGGCATTTTTCAGGGCCCGGTCCTTGGCTGCCTTCTACATTTATACTCTATGTGATCTCCTGTGATCTCTTGCTTTAAAGGCCATGTATCTTCTTAAATTTATTTCTTTACCTTGATCTTTCCCATGTATTCAAGGCTCATATCTATGTCTGCCTAGTCAACACCTCTATTTGAAAGTCTAATGAACATTTCAACTTATCATGTCTGAAATAGAACTTTTAAATTTTTCTCCTAAAACTTATCCCTGCCTCCTTCATCTTCATCTCAGTAAATGGTCCACCCAGTTGCTCAGGCCCAAAACTAGAAGCCATCTTTGACTTTTCTCTTTTCTTCTTAATCCACATCCAGCCCATCAGTAAGGCTTATAGGAGGTCTGACAATTGTTGCAACAATGTTGCTAACCTATTTTGATATCAGAGGGATTATGCATTATGAATTTGTACCAACTGAACAAACAATTAACCAAGTTTACTTTTTGGAAGTGCTGAAAAGGCTGTGTGAAAAAGTTAGACGGCCTGAACTTTTCTCCAACAATTCATGGCTCTTGCATCACGACAATGCACCAGCTCATACAGCACTGTCTGTGAGGGAGTTTTTAGCTAGTAAACAAATAACTGTATTGGAACACCTCCCTACTCACCTGATCTGGCCCCCAATGACTTCTTTCTTTACCGAAGATAAAGGAAATATTGAAAGGAAGACATTTGGATGACATTCAGGACATCAAGGATTATACGATAGCTCTGCTGGCCATTCCAGAAAGAGAATTTCAAAATTGCTTTGAAGGGTAGACTAGGCACTGGCGTTGGCGTATGGCATTGTATGTCTTCTTTTCAAAATATACCCCAGGGCCGGCCGAGTGGCTCAGTTGGTTAGAGCTCGCTCAAGAGTGCGAGCTCTGAGCAACAGGGTCGCCGGTTCGATTCCAGGCCCAAGCTGAGCTGCCAATAGGTGGCAGGATGGTGCAGCTAAAAAAAAAAAAATGTATCCCAAATCCCCTTTGCTGCCGACACCCCACCACTACTACTCTAATATAATATACCTTATAACCACCATCATAAATTACCTAGATGATTGTAATAACTGGCCTTCTAACTGTACTTCTTTATCTCCTCCTTTCACTTCCCCAGTCATTTCTCCATGTAAGACCATGGAAAAAAGCTGTTGGTTTTTTTTCTTAAATTAAACAGTTCTTAAGTTAAACAGTTCCTGTCTTTTCCCTATTCAGAACTGTCAGTGGCTGCCTGTCACACTCGGGATAAACCCCCAGTCTCGCCCGTGGTCCACCAGGTCCCGCACGTTCTGCCTGCCTACTTTATCTTCCCCCGTCTCTGTCTTGTTCTCTTTCCTCTACCCACTTGCCTTTTTGCTGTTTCTTAAATTCTCCAGGTCCATTTGGAATCAGCTCAATCCCTCCTAATCCCCTATCCCGTAATCTCATTCCAACCAGTTCAGCCCCAGCTTGGTTCTAGTAGAGGTAGATTTAGAGAGAAGAGAAATACATGTCCAAGGCTCTCCCACACAGCAGTGGCAGAGGTCGCACTATAAATTTGGCAGCTTTATTATTCCAAATTTCTGAAATTTGAATTGCTTTCAAATGAAAGAAGGACTGGAGATTAGAGCTATAGAAAGACATACCTGAAAGGGGGCAGCAAAGTGAGAAATCCCGAGAAGACAGAGAAACAAGAACAGTCTCAAGAGATATGACAACCTGTGAGGGGGTGCAGGCCTTCCTTAGAGAGCCAGAGCTGTATTTATCGATCAGATCGCTGATTTCCTATGGTGTGCCACGCACATGCTGGCATGGGGCAGGCCCTGCTGCTGCAGAAAGCTGTGACTGGAGACAACTCTTAGATGCGTCATCCTATTATTTAGGTGCTAGCTACCAAAGGGATCAAATACAAAGTATGTTAGTGTCACAGAGATCCTGATAATCATTCTTTCCTGATTTTCAATGGAAAGAAGTTATAGAGAGAGATTTCTGCTCAGTTTAATGAGCACTATACTGTATACGTTGGTAACAATTATACTAGTAGCTGCGAAAATAGACTGGGCCACTTCACAGGACACTGAGTTCTCCATCACTGACAGTGTACAAGTTGAGGTAATCACCATGTGGGAAGTTGTGGAGGAAAATTGGGCTGGAGTGCAGGAGGGGAGAGTTGATTTCTAAGGTCTTCCCAATGCTGAGATTATATCTTTTAGGATCTTTTTTCAGAGCAGTTATTCTTAGAGTCCACCTCAGATTCACC